ATATCGCCGATGCAAAATTCGACCCCTCCCTCCACGGCCAAAAAGGCAAAAATGAACTAGAAATGGAGAATTTGAAAACTAAAATTAACAAATGATTTTAAATTACCGTTTGGCCCTTGGCCACACTTCATGCATATTAAGTAGATCCTAATGAATGTGGTCGTGCACACTTTGCATCACCCGATTTGGAAATGAACCCTTAAATGCTCGAATTTTACTATTTTAGCTCAAATTGCAAAGTATAAAACTAAAATGCAAAAATGAAAAAAAAATGGTGATTGGCCCTTGGCCATACCTCATACATATTAAATGAATGCTAGATAATGAATTTCATACCCGATACACACTCTGGTGCAAAAATGTCATGTTAAAACCCTAATTTCTTATATATTCTCATTAAAGGCAAGATTTCAACATTTATGAATATACATGAACTTCAAATATCTTTTAGCCCTTGGCCTCATATCATATACATAAAATGAGAATAAAAAAGTATGCTTAGGCACACATTACAATTTTAGAATCAAATATACACATTTGACAAATAAGGCTATAAATGGCTTTTCTAGCCAACCTTCACAAAATGGAACCTTCAAGTCCATAAAACGTCCAAGCATAACGAGAATCTTGATTCATGTACCTAAAAAATGTCCCCACTACGTGGGTGAGTAACATAAAGCTACTCGTAGGAAATGAGCATGCATTGTGCTAACGTTTTACAAAGTTATTGCATTAACTTAAAACAATTCAAAAGGGTCATGCCACCTAACGTCTATGTCAAAAGTGAGACTCGGGGAGCATCCTAAACTACCTTGAAACATTTCTACCATAAATCACATCATTCATGCAATTCAAACAACATAGAAGCATGTTATACAAAGTAACAAGATATAGATCCTCAAAGCCATTGACTTGAAATCTAAAATACGAAAACAACTAAAGTGGGTCATGCCACCTAACGTCTATGTTCCAAATGAATCTATAGGATCATTCCTAAGTTGCATTTGAACAATATAGCATAGATGTACTTAACAACATCAAAAACCTGCAATGATTCATTAGAAATCATAATGCCTTAATGTACTTATCAACATCAAAACCTGCAATGATTCATTAGAAATCATAATGCCTAAATATACTTATCAACATTTAATCGCTAATAACCAAAACCACAAGTCACAATTAAACATTGGTTGCTAACTTGGAATTGAATGCGAAATCAAGTAGTGGAAGACTTGGACATCAAATCCTGGATAAAGCCAAGACCTATGGTTATTTCGGGCATTAACCTGCTGGGAATACCACCATAAGTGCGCACTATAAATGCGGAGAACTCATACCTCCCGCACTAGAGCCAAACTCTAGCCATATCTCTATAACAATATCCCAAGTGACTCCAAAATAAATAAGTTAACAACTTATATACGAAATATATATAAAGCACGGAACTACATTCCATGCATAAGTAGGTTGTAACCATATAGCTCATGCTCTAAATCCACAACTACTATAGGATGACAAATGTCGAATCTTCAGAGCGCGATTCATTACACGCTATAATAACATCACATGTCAAATCTTCAGTGTGTGATTCGTTACACGCTATAACAATATAATTCAATATTGAAAACATAAACTGAAGAATCTAATACAAGTCTAAAATCATACTTTAAACATACTACCAATGTCAAACTCATGATTAAATCAATAATGCAATAGAAACGAAAATTAATCAAATAAACCAATTAATTTCTTTAGGTTTCAAATCTCAATCAAATGATCCTTAATTAACACATGTTAAACAACATAGCATGGTCATTTCATATATCCATTCAAAAACTTAATTAAGACATGGAACAATAAGGTAAAATTTAATTAAATCATGATAATTAAATCTCCAACTTCTAAAACAACATCAAATGGTCCCAAATTAATATATGGTAGTGTACAAGTCATGTTCATCACAAATATCAAGTTAAAAACTTAATTAAGCCAATGGAACCATTAAATAGATTTTAATAAATTCTTTTAATTAAAATCTCTAGATTTTCATACTCATCCAAATGCTCTCAAATTAAAGTATGTTAAAGAAAATGCCAAGACTTAATTTAAAAGAATATCACAAGTTATTTCCATGCAAGGTATGGCTATGAAAATTAAACTTTCACCAAAGAAAATTATTAAATAAAAGTTGCAATACTTTATCAAATACTCCAATTTTAATATATGTTAACAAACATACCAAAGCCTAATTTACTAGCATGCCATAATTTAATTCTAAGTTGAATATCATCATGTGAATTAAATCTTAAACATAGAAATTAATTAAATTAAATTCTATATGAACAAAAGCATGCATACAACTTGTATAAGTATCAATAGCATGCAAGACAATAAAAATATAAACCTATAACATCCCCTACCTCAATTTGAGATGAAAATCTCAAATCTCCACCAAAAGAAAAATGCTCCGAATCAGACGATACTTCGGGGTTTTGTCAAGGACAACACGGTGAACAAGAATCCCAAGGAAGCCCCATGAAAATCACAACTTGACTTCAAACCCGAACTCACAACATGGTCAGAAATGAGTTCTAATAAGGAGGAAAGATAGAGCATGACGAGGCCTACGATAAATGTTAAGGCGGAAGACTTTTTACAAAGGCATGCAAGTAAAGAAGAAGAAAAAAAGGTGGCAGCCCCTTGGGCTGCCATGGTTGCTAGCCATGAAGTAGAGAAGAAGGCTGAAAACAACCAGAAGGGAATTCTGAGGGTATGCGACTCGACAAAAAGTGAAAATGAATCTCGTATGAGGATCCAGGCTCAAAATAAGACATTTAGCAATAACTTTTATTAATTACACAATGGCCCCTCCAAAAAGTGAAAACTGCACTAATAGTCCAGAATGAAAATATCTTCCAAAAATATTTACTTAAAAACCCCTAAAATAAATATCTTCAAAAGATATTTATGAAAAACACCCCAAGAAAAGAAAAAGATTTTGAAAAACTATGCATCCATGCCCCTATGGACACCGGGAGCAACTAGAGTATTTTACTGAAAAAGTAAAGATACGTATTTCGTGGAAACCACTTAGAATGAAGATACGTGAAGTCAAAAACCAACTCCGAACACAAAAAGTGAGGTTATACCAACAAAGTTACAAATGGGGAAAAGGCAAAATAGGGAAAAGGACGAAAAATAAATAGTGTCGAAAAATGAAAAATGTGGAAATGACTCGGTCCTCAAAGGAAGTTGTCAATCCAGGGGAAAGAGTCTCAGAAACCATTTCCGAGCACTCGAGATGACACTAAGTGATGAGAAACCAAACACATAATAGAAAAGACAATGAAAAAAAAATTATTCATAAAATTTGAGGAAAAAGGAAAGGAAGAAAATGACCGGGTCATTACACTAATGAGGTGTCTGAGCCACAAAACATGATATCATCAACATAGATTTGCAAAATTAGAATCTGTTCTTAATGAGTTTTTACATAAAGAGTATTATCAACCTTGCCTCTGTAAAATCCTTGTTCAACTAAAAACTAATGCAGCTTCTAATACCAGGCTCTGAGGGCTTGTTTGAGGCCATATAACGCCTTTACTTAGTTTAAACACATGAGAGGGATACATCAAATCTTCAAAACCTTCAGGCTGTTCTAGGTAAACTTCTTCATTTAAGTCTCCATTTAGGAAGGCTGACTTAACATCCATTTGATATACTTTGACTTGTTTGTGACAAGCAAAAGATAGAAGCATTCTAATGGATTCCATTCTAGCAACTAGAGCAAAAGTTTCATTATAATCAATTCCAGCTTGCTAAGCATAGCCTTTACACACCAATCTTGCCTTATTTCTTATTACTAACCCTTTATCATTCATCTTGTTTCTGTAAATCCACTTTGAACCTATCACATTCTTGTCTTCAGGTCTTGGAACGAGTGTCCATGTATCATTCTTGTGAATTTGATCAAGTTCCTCTTGCATGGTAGCTATCCAGTCTTTACTTTTCTAAGCTTCAAAATAGGACTTTGGTTCAATGGATGATAGCATAGCAAAGTGACTGTATTCTTCACCATCTTCAGCTTCTAAATCATTTAGTTTTTTCTTGTTTCTTGTTTGAACTCCAGCTTGAGATGAACCAATGATGTTCTTAGCTTGAACCTGCTTCTGCAGCACTAGATAAATGATTTCCCTCGGATCTTCAGATTTAGTAACTAAGGAACTGGTTTCATTTGAACCAAAAGTATTGTCATAGTCTTTAAGAGGTGTGGACTTAGAATTCTCATCAAACTTCACATGAATTGACTCAACCACCTTTGTAGACCTTAGATTGTAACACCTGTAAGCTTTGCTTTTCTTAGAGTACCCCAAGAATATGCCTTTATCTGCCTTTGAATCAAACTTGCCCAAACTAACAGTTTGGTTCAGTATATAACACTTGCTGCCAAACACCTTGAAGTAGTGAATAGTCGCAGGTCTTTCATACCACAATTCATAAGGTGTTTTGGTTGAATTAGGTCTGAGAAGAACCCTATTTATGATGTGCACAGCCGTACTCACAGCTTCAGCCCAAAAACCCTTTACTAGACCTTTTTCAAGAAGCATTATTCTACCCATTTCTTGAACTGTCCTATTCTTCCTTTCTACAACCCCATTCTGTTGAGGAGTAGCAACAGCTGAGAACTCTTTCTTAATACCTTTATCATCACAGTAGTGCTCAAACTCCTTTATGATGAATTCTGAGCCGAAATCAGACCGAAGTCTCTTCATAGTGCTACTTTTTTTATTTTCAATAAGATAAACAAACTTAATGAAGTATGTAATGGCCTCAGATTTTTCTTTTAAGAAGTAAACCCACACCATCCTACTGAAATCATCAATAAAATACTTACTTCCACCAACACTAGTGGTTCTAGTAGGGCCACAAAGATCCATGTGTATCAAGTCCAGAGCTATTAAAGAGTTGATTTCCTTGGAAGGAAATGACACTTTGGTTTACTTTCCTTGTTGACATGATTTACAAAGGTGATCATCTTTAAAACTAATGTCAGGCAGTCCTTTAACAGCTTTCATCTTCAGAATTTTGGATATATTTCTTGAATGAAGATGACCTAACCTCTTATGCCACAACTTTGCTTCATCACAGGTTGTTAAATTACATTGAGTGACCTGACTTTCTTCAATGACTGTGTACACATTTCTTGAAGATCTATTAGCTGAGAACAAAACTTGTTTTGATTCAAGATCAATCACATTGCATCTTTCTTTATTGAAACAGACCTCCTTCCCACTGTTACACAATTGACTAACACTGAGGAGATTATGTTTGAGTCCTTTAACCAATAGAACTTCATGGATTTCTGGCAACTTTTCAGACTTACTCACAGTACCAATTCCAACAATCTTAGCCCTTTGATTATCTCCAAAGATAACATTTCCACCATCAAACTGCTTCAACGAATTAAATTTAGAACCATCACCTGCCATGTGTCTTGAGTAGCCAATATCAACATACCATTTATCCTGAGTATTACAAGCTTTAAAGGCTGTATACACAAGAAGACTCATAGAGTTCAGCTTCTTAGGAATGCACATCATTTTAGTCTTCACCAATGATCCTTTGTCCTTGACCTTCTGAGCTGAAGCTAAGTCTGACTTCTTGACATACATTCTAGTTATCTTGAAGTTCTTTATAGTTATGGTAACAAAGTCTCTCTTGCTGAAGTTTAGAGCACTGCAAATGTTATTAAGTAACTTATCCTTGAACCTCCGAGGCTTTATGATAGTAAACCTTGCATACACTTCACCAATTGTGGCTTTAACAAATACAGAGTGAGTTTAATTGACCTTTGTGGCTGAATCACACACATAGCCAATTCATGTCTTCCCAATTTGCTTTGTGGATTGCTTCCAAATCTTAGCCATTTTTAGGGATCTTTCTTCTAGAATGAGAGACAGTTCTTCTTTACACTTCTTGGTAGACCACTGAGTATTGACTTGAGATTTCAATAGGCTTTGAAAAATAAGAGAAACTGAACATAGTATTGATAGTTTAAGTTTAAAGCGTTTAATGAGAATTTGTTTGGACTTAAACAATTCTCAGCTAAACCTTTTTATCTGAGCTTTTTGTTGATCATACTTCACTGCAAGCCTTTCACACTCTTCAAGAATTTCCTCAATCTCAGTGTCACTATCTTCTTCAACTTAAATAGAAGTTTATGGTGTTTCAAGAATTGTCATAAAGAGACATTCATCTTCTTGTGTCTCCTTGGGTTTTTCTTCTTCAGGAGCTGCATCCCAGTCTGAGATAAGTGCTTTTTTGCCAAACCTTTCTTTATAGTTTCCTCCCTCATTCTTCTTCTAACTCTACCCCTTTAAGTTCGGACACTTAGATGCAACATGACCAGGTTTACCACAACCATAGCAAGTTAAATTTTGCAGCTGATTCTTCTTTTTAAACTTGAACTTTCTGAATTCTTAGCAAAATAGGCAACCTCATCTTTTTCTAGATCATCTTCAAACTTTGCTTCAGTTTCTTCAACAACTTCCTCTGCTTTAAGAGGTGCTTCTCTTCTATGAATAGCTGGAACACCAATTCTCATTTCATAGGCAGTGAGAAAGGCCTGAAGCTCGTCAATCTTCACTTCAGAAAGATCTTTGTCTTCAAGAATTGTCACTTTAGGATTAAATCTAGAGGTGAGTGACCTTAGTATCTTCTTACAAACTTCAACATCCTTAATATCTTCACCAAGTGCTCTTATATTGTTGACCATTGATCCTGAACATGTACTTAGCAACAGTTTCTCTATCTTCCATCTTACATACCTCATACTGAACTTTGAATAGTTGTATCTTATTCTCCTTAATAACCTTATTTCCTTCCTGAGCTGCCTGAAGAGAATCCCATATTCCTTATCTACTTTACAATTTTTAACTCTGGTAAACTCTTATTGCCTCAAAGCACAGAAGAGAACATGTTTGGGCTTGCCATCATTAGCCACAGCCATTTTATCTTCAGCAAAGAGGTTATCAGGATTAAGAATCACAACACCATATACAGTAGCATGCTAAACATCATAAGACTGAGACATTAAGAAGGCTTACATTCTAGTTTTTCAAGAATTATAGTTTGAACCTTCAAACCCTGGAGCTTTGTTGATAACTTGACCTTCATCCATTGCTAGGATCAACTGCAGGCTTGTTAGAACCTCACAATGCAAACCAAAACTCTGATACCAATTGTTGAACCAAGAGGGGGGTGAATTGGTTAAAACTTTGCTTTTAAAAACTTTCTCACACAACTAAGCAAGCATTCAAAGAACATATAACACAAGATTTACAAGGAAACCCTCTTAAATAGGGAAAACCTTGGTTCTTGGCCTCAGCCAATAAGCAATCCACTAGTTGTATGTATCTTGTTACACACTCAGCTGTCTCACTCTCTACACACACCCATGCACCAGAATAGACACTAGTTTTCACAACCAATACACACATACTAGGACACCACAGTGCATCCACGCACTCCCCCTATCCGAAACAACCACGCTTGGACCCAATAAGCTCTCAAAGCTCACTTAACAATGGGGTGAGGATGTAAAGCCTCACTACCACTCAATAATAGGGTGAGAGATCATGCCTCACTGCCATTTATAACAAGTGTCAACACACCAAATACAATTCAAATAAGTTGGACAACACAAAATTCTAATTAACCGCCTCAGAACTGCAATCTGCTTCATCAAGTGTCGGAGGGGTAAAATAGGAAATTCCTTTTGAGATCAATTCACCAGCGCCTCATACAGTCTTCTTTCACTGTTGTACTCATGTTCATATCTTTGTATAATCAAACACAGCATGAGTATACCACAAGTTCAGTTAAAGTTGTTGGTTCAGCATATAACAGCTTAATTCAATACAAAAAGCTTCGGCACAGAATCTCTTCAGCACAGAATACTCAAAAACAAAGCATACCATATTTTTGCTACTAACTCAAATTTGAAAATCTCGATTCATCAAAATATACTAGCTAACAGCATAGATCATCATAAAATAGCTAAGTATAATCAGATAGCACTTGAATCCAAGATTTCTTCATAAAAACAAGTTTAATTACTGACCACACTATCTGAATTCATTTTCATCATAATCTCAACACAAACACAGTCTGAACAAGTGTAAGAAGAAGAATTATACCTGTGTCAACCTTCAAAATCGACCACAGAAGCTTGAAACACCAATTCACTCTTCAATACAGCCCTTGCATCAGCAAATTTGACAGCGGCCTCATCTCAACAAACAGAGCACGCCTCAGAGTTGATTTAATGAGCTTTTCTTGCATGGATCATTATCAAATAGCAGAGAAAAACTTGCTTGACATAGTTTACTTAAGGGTTCTCACGAGCAGCTCAATGTGCAATGTAAATTTTAAAGGCTTAAACCCTAAGGAGCCTTATAGCAGCATATTTATAGTGACACTGAATTACACAAGGCCTCACTCACCACGGATATACACCTGTCACCTCTAGCCAATGATTGAGAGAGAATATTTCAGATATTTTCAAAGCAATGGACCAATGCAGGCTTGCCACCTCAGCTAATTTTGTCTCTATTCTATTAGCCACACAGGTTACAAGTTTGAGTGCTAAATTCCAATTCTGTCCAAACTTAGCCTCTAAGGAATGAAATATTCTTGCATATACCAACTCTATAGGACCACTGATACGTGTCACAATCTTGAGCGTAGCTGGAAAAGGCCATACTGAGCAAAACATATATATATATGGAATACACCTAAGAAAAGATCATAGAGCCCCTGTGAGCACCTGTAGTTAACACCCAAGTGCTGAACCATCTCTGTCCGAGGCTGAAGCATCTCTGTCCGAGGAACATCTTTGTCTGAGGCTGAAGCATTCTTGTGATACCCCTCGGATCCGAGACACGGGTTGATCAGGACCAGGCCCAAACCCGAGGGAAATATCAAACAATTAAAGTATTTTATTCGAACACAGAATACAAGATGAATTTAAGAAATAATAGTTTAAGCTGAAAGAAATCTAAAATATAAAATCCTATAAAATTAAATACTTAAAATCCCAGATAATAATAATCCAACTCCAAAACCTCCAAGGGTACAACTCGGGAATCCATCTTGTGGACCCCTAATAAGAAAACCAAACTAAACTGAAAAACTAAAAAAAAACATAAGAATAGAACTCCACGTCGTCGGAAGAATGAGTGGTCACCTCTACTTAGCACGAACAAGCTCAAGCCTGGAATTGACGTACACCTGAAAAATAGGAGTAGGTGAGGCCCACGAACAAGTTCTATCCTACTACAATCCAAGCAGAAACTCGATAAGCATATACACACTAACCAACTCAACAATAACTATATAATCCGTGTCTATATATATATATATATATATATATATATATCTACACTATGGACTCTCACTGGACTATGATACGAGTCTCAACCTAAGTAGAAGGTAACATGCAAAACGCACCTGAGTGGGCATGACTACCTAAGCCTAACAGGGTAAACCTTAACCAGCATAGCCAGTTACGCGTCCTATTGCATATACTCTCCCTAACCATTGACTCTAGGCTCAAGCTCAAGTCACGGTACCATAATAATATATTAAAAATCCGTTCACATTCATCCATAAGAAATCCAGTAAGTCGTTCAGCTTATTCAACCGCACAGACTTAAGTTGTTCAGCTTATTCAACCGCACAGACTTATACATAAGGAGGATTCTATTTTTGTGATCCATTCCCTTATTCCAAAGTAGGAAGGACTTAGCAATTTGAGCTAATCCAAACCTAGTATGTCACCGTCCCATACCGGTACATATAATCCAATCCATCCAACAGTTGATAGAATACATAATCAATGTACATAACAACTGAACCATAATAAGCATAAATAGAGATATAGACTAGACTAACATGCTTACTCCAGTAACTGATAGATCAAAATAATAAGACATATCAATTAATTCCATGATGAACACAAATTAAATAGATTAGCATCATGTTCATCCCATAACTCTGTTACAAATTATCTTACTTGAGCATGCAGATAATTTATTCCTCTCATCCATAAAACCATGACAAGTCTAATAAAAACCATATTTATTATCATGCTTGTCCATTATTAATAACATCATATTAATAAAATTTCCACTCACAGAGAATAAATAAATTAAGGTTCAGTAATTTAAAATTCCTCTGTACTGAAATAAAACAACTTCCATTGAGACTTACCAATGTTCAAGCTATAAACACCTACTAGTTTATTAAGCATTAATCCACTCTCACAAGTGTTAATTAGACTTAGAACATCTCAAAACCCAAGTATAGCTTCCTACAGAATCTGAAAATCCCAAAATCCGAGTTCCATAGCCAAACCAATCGCAGAAAACTTAAAACTAGAAGCCAAAAGAGCCTGCTCTTTCAAAAGAAGGATCTGGCTCTCCTTGTCTTGGAGGTGGCTCTAAGACCCCTTAGAGCCGGCTCCATGTTCCCAAGGAGCCTGATCTTTGCTCCAAAGAGCCTGCTCTTTGAAATCTTGAGCCGTCTATTCTCTCTTCTTCATCTATGTCACATCTGATGTGTTTTTGTTGTTCTGACTTCCATTCCTAAGGTACTTAGATGTTTAAACTAGGTTCCAAGTTAATCCATAATCCACTAAATTCTTTGTTCAATTACCAAAATCAATTAAAGCATGAATTTTGTAACAAGGATTTAATACGAGCAGTTTATGCGTTCCCGGACACCAACTGTTTTAACTTATCAATCTTGCAAACTAAATTAATTCCAGTAATTCCTAACATAGTATAGAACTTATTAAAATCATTACTCATCAATTTTCATGAATTAAACAGAAATTTCATAATGAAGAATTTAAAACAAACTTTAAACAACTTAAAAACACATTCAGTTTTTTTTAACATCTAAAACATGCAATCCAGTTCAATTTTAATCCTTATTAAATCCTGGAATTGTATTAGTCGTGCAAAGAACATGAGCCTAAGGGAAAGAGATAGGATTAGAACTTGCCTGTGAGACTCGGTTCAGAAATCTCAGCGTCTTTCTCCTAAGCTTTCTCGGTGATCCTTTGGTTTTCCTTCTCTGTTCTCTCCCAAACTCCTCCAGACTTCTCTCTGTTCTCTTTATGTCGTGAATAGGGTTCTCAAACCCTAAACTGAACGTAATACTTATATTTATAGGTTTTTACAAGAAACCAAATTTTACTTCAAGCCCTAATCTGAATCCTAGCTAGCCCATAGACAACCCAAATTTACGTCGGCTTATAACTTAAACCTAAACAGAAGTAAAACCATAACGATATTTTCATACTTAATAATTAATTAAACCATTTAATAATTACTTCAATTAAAGGAAAACAATAAATTCCAATGTAACGTAATACAGAAAATAAAAACAATTTTATAATTAATACAGAAAATAAAAAAATAATAATTTAATAATTAATTAATTCACAAAATCACCATTAAATAACAAGTCATCAATTATTGCAAATAAACACGCCAATCAACAATTTAAACAATTTAAAATTCAATTAAAACAATAAATTAAATACCAGGGCTATCCTTTTGAAATTAGGGGTATTACATTCTTCCCCCTTAACAAAATGAATTCCGTCCTCGGAATTCACTCTTACTTTCTTCCCATAATTCAGGAAACTGTGAGCGAATGACATCCTCCCGTTCCCAACTGGACTCAGCCTCATTGTGATGACTCCAC